GCAGTATATTAGAGAGGTGATATCGGGGATAATCTTCGGATTAGTGGAGTCCCGCTCAGTTACATCCGACAACATTAGCGCCTCAAAATCCGAGATATGGGGTGCCATTTAGTTCTATACTATAAGAGTTGTATTCTCCTTGTATTTACTACGTTCTAATTATAGTATTATTGAATAATAGTTTTCAAGTGACAATTCATTTTATCGAAATAAAAAGAGGAAAGATTTGGATTTAAGTATGTTAGTAATAAACTACTGGATCAGTTTAAAATTCTTTCGTCATTAGAATGCTACATTATCGCTGAGTAATATAGGGTAAATTTATTTCCCAAAATATATTATTTAAATAATTCTCCATATTCTTAAAACTTCTTACCTCATAATATAATAGATTACAGGTGATAATTCATTTTATCGAAATATAAAGTGGATAGATTTGGCTTTTAGTATGTTAGTAATAAACTACTGTATCATTATTATTTCATCATTAGAATGCTACATTATCGCTGAGTAATATAGGGTAAATTTATTTCCTAAACATTATTTAAATTAATGTCCATATTCTTATAACTTAATACGTCATAAAAACTAATTTAGCCGTATCATAACGTGTTTTAATTAATAATATATTGTTTACATATTACGAAATTTCTGCTACTTTTTAGGGTAGCCTGGTAAATCATATTTTATGAGCCATTTCGCTGCTAATGAATGCCAGATTTGTTTATTTTAAATAACTAATAACTAACTTTTTTATCTCTTTGTTTACTCTGTAATTAAATTAAACAGATCTTAACATTTAAAAAAGTGCTAATACTCTGATTAAAAACAACAGTGGCACCTTTTAGAAGTTGGCTTCAGATTTATTTATCTTTTCTGTTCTGTCTGCAAGTTTGTAGATCAGTGTTCTATGCCTGACATGTACCATCGAATGTTTGAGTCTAACGCATGCCGGTTTCAGCTCGATGTTTTCCTGCGAGCGAATCATATGTGCCCACAAAAAGTCCATTCGTGCACAGCCGGGATTTAAACCTACGAGCTCAGGGGAAAGAGTCGCACGCTGAAACCACTAGTAATGCACTCTATATTTATAAATATCTGTAATTTGTTATTTGTTGATTTAAACACCGTAGGGACATAATGCATTAAGATAATATTAAGTATCACCGTATAACTGTTTGTCTTTCAAACTTTTAACCTAAATCTTGCTTTAATGTGTCAACAAAGATTACGTACCGGTGGCATCGCGTAAAACTGACGTGAAATCTATGAAAGTTTTCCCGCCATTAGTGACATGACGTCACAACGCTCGCGTAATGGCGCTAAAAGGTCGCTCTAATGAAATGTCAAAACAGCCTTTGTAAATGCAAAGCTATTTAGGGCAACACCAGATATAAAGGTTAAGGCTTTGTGGCACACTTTCAGCCTGCTTTTCTGTAATATTATAATTATTCCATAGAGTCATATTGTACTTTAAAAAAAGTATAATTTAGTCCGATTCAAGATGTGCAATGACCAAAAAGCTTAAGTTTGGTTATAAAATGCATTGTATGGTGAAAACTCCCATTTGAGACTTCACCTCTGTATGTGATAAGGTATAAAATAAGGCTGTTAGTAAAAAAAAGTGTTATTTAAAAAAAAAGTTTTATCTTCCGCATTTATTTATCAGGCACTACTGAAGGATAACCAAAAGCAATTAATTTTAGTTTTTTTAGACACTTAGAATTAAATTTTTTCGTAAATCGGACACAGATTATACGACAAAAGCACCTTCAAAGAACATGATGACATCGTTCGGTCGTTGAGGGCTGCCATCGTATAAATAGCCTCGATATGTGCTGACTCACGCCCTATTTACCACACACGGCTCATTGCACACATGCTTGTCATCTATGTGCCAAACATTATTTACTGGAAATTGGTTCAAATTATTCAAATTGTATATAATAATTACGTACGTAGTCTTTATAAATTAAAAAAAAATTGATGAAACAAAACAAAGAACAAGAAATGGGTTCTAAGATAGAGTAATACAATTTAACCGCTGACTTGCGACACCAATAAGCTATGTGGAAAAATCTCTGGGATCCTGGTAACTGGTGTCTGCTTCGGTTTTCAAATAACGAATTTTTTAACTAGTATTTTAAAAATTCTTACGTTGTGCTTCTAACGTATATGATTTTATTATTTAAAACAAACGAAGAAATTACTGAAATTCAAATAAAAATCAAAAAGAGAAAGGCTCGGTAAAAGCCTGAAAATAAACAAAAGTGTGTAAGCTTTTGTTAAAATGAAAGTTGTAAATGTAAGTTGCGAGATGTGTAGCGTTGATGGTACAATGTGTTTATATTGCATTGTGATAATGCCGGGATTCATTTAATGTGTTCGGATTTGTAGAACACTTAACATGATATTTTAAAAAGATATATTTCTGATTCTGATGATAATAATCCCGACGACGTTACCCTATATGGGTCTTAGCCACAGATAGCATCATGATTTTTATCAATAGACAGGTAGGTGATCATCCTTCTGTTCCCGAAACATGTCGTAGTTTCATTTGGGTTTTAAGGCTTTACTCAATGTTTGCTTTCACCCTAATACCGCGTGTTAATTGTGCTCTTGGCAAGATTAATCCATTGGTACACAGCCGTAATTCGAACCTACTACCACGAGTTTATAGTAACACACTAAAGCCTAGGCTAAAATCGCTCAGTTATTTCGATATCCTATCAAAACGCATGCTTTATTTGACTGATAAATTCTGATTATCAAGCTTTATATAAGATTATTTTCTTTTTTTGATCGGCAGAATACAAATATAAGTGCACCATTCGGCACATGCATTTTAAAATATTCACGTTTGTTTTTGTAGGCGGTTTTGGGATTTCCTGCGGCTGTGCTATTTACGCTAAAAGCATCAATGTTTAAACAATATTCACCTCGTCATTGTGTGCTTGAATTGTTCTCAATTACATCGCTTATGTTTATCCTGACGTAAAAACGGGTAGTAACAATCATTATTTATATGGAAAACTTGTGCTTTGTATTAAACCTATCAGGTTTTGCGTGAATGTATAAACGGGGGAAATACATCGTTCGAATAGCAACTAAACAAATTGTATAAAATATTAATGCGTTCGGCCTGTAGAAATTTGACATAGAATTGACGTCTATGAATACATGACTACATTTGAAGCCTCTAGTGCTTTACTGACTCACAGATCATCTGGAAATTTGACATAACAATACTCACTACTTCAAAATTACAATTTTATATTGATTTCTATTGCTTTTGTTAAACATCCATCAGATTTTAATAAAAAAACTGTGGCGTAATTTGGGTAAGGATTCTAAAACCCTTTTATTACAACATATTTCGTATACTTTCACTGTTATTAAATTTTTTCCTAAAACGGGAACATTCCGGGACATTCCTACATACCCCGAGACATTCCAGCGAGTTGCTTCGGGTTCCGAGGTAGTATAAGTTATGTGTGCGACAGGATTAATACCGTAGCAAAATTACGTTTTAGGTAATACATAAGTTACTGATTTTAAGGAGTTAAGGGCAGATTTTTTATAAAATCTTAATCGTATCTTACGTATGCGTGTCAGCGATATATATATATACATATATATATATCGTCATGATCGTAGAACAATGTCGGATTTGAAAAAATCCAAAATCCCCTTTTTTCATATTTGGATACTACATTGACTAAATATTACGGCTACGTTAAAAAAAATCCATGTGTTTTAAATTTCAAATTAATCGGTCGGTAAATTGACGGATTTGATAGCAACATGTGATTTTTCTAGAAAACTGTGTAATTTAATGTTATAATTTTTATTTTGTTTCAAAACAAACACTTTTGTTTGCTTGTATGCCAATTTTCAGAATAACTGAATATTAATTAAAATAGTTATGACAAAAACTAACATGATTATATTATTTTGACATGGCTGCCCTGTAAAGTTTACTACTTCTCAGATCTTACACTATTCTACGACTATGACGATATACGAGTATATCTATACTAATATTATAAAGAGGAAAGGTTTGATTTTTTGTTTGTTTGAAATGAATAGGCTCCGAAACTACTGGACCGATTTCAAAAATTCTTTCACCGTTGGCAAGCTACACTATTCCCGAGTGACATAGGCTATGTTTCATTTTCAAAAAAATTAGGGATGCTTACTAAAACTTGAATAATCTAACCCAAGGTGTAAAAAAATAAACAAAAAACTTCCTTCAATCGTGTGCGGTGCGAACTATTAATGATAGAAAAAAATGATGTATTACAATTTTTCAGGACAAATCACTATCTATAAAAAATGTCGCGACAGCATGTCTCTATCTTTTATAGTTACGTCACAATAAGCGTCCTTGTATTATTTTTTTTATTAACATACCATAGCTAGAAAAGGCTCTTTATACGTACCTAGGTATTGATCCTTATCAAAATAATTACCAACGTTTCACATAAGCTACAATTTAATGGCATAACCACCAAAAAAGTATGGTGGATTGGTGTTCTCCTGCCTTTTCTCTTGAATAGTTTACTACTATGTAATATAACAAAAATCTTAGCCACAGCAACGCTTGGCCGAGTCTACTAGTATTATATAGATTGCAGTTGCGTAGGTCAAAATAATATTCATTTTTAAATTTAATTTTGGTTTGTTGCTTACAACTTACTTAGTTACTATATACTTAGCTACTATTTTGTACGTCATTTTGAATTCTACTCAAGATATACATAATATATCGATTACACCTGTTTTGATATTTTAAAGATTGTGTGATAACCTAATGTCTCTTAGAATTAGTGTAATTATTTGAACATTTTATTGTCTTACGTAAAAATTATAAATCTAATTATCTTGAAATTGCACGTTACGCCAGCTGAAGCGAAGAATGTCCCATAGACAAATCTCAAAGCGTATATTAAGAGTGAAAATGTGCTGAATTTCAATTTAGTTCTTTTTATTTCAAAATGTATCCCGTATCACGCCGGGCGGACACATTAGTCTCGTCTGCTCGTGCTGATGAGTTACGTGACTCTACGGACACGACTAGCATTTTGACTCGCAATTATTTTCAAGTTTGTATGAAATAATTCTTATTATTAATTAGATTATCTTGGTTAACGTGCACTTTCATGGCAGAGTTTTTGCCTCGGACAGTGTCACTAACAGTAATAGTAGAGTCGGACTTTCTCTAAAATATTATGAATATAAAAACATTATTTTATTTTAATAATTTGTCACTTATTGTGTAAAAGCGTTCAAGCGAGTGCGGTAGGGTGGGCGAATCCGTAAGGCTGAGATTAGGGCGGATTAAAGTGGTTACGATACCTCGTGTGAATTCAAAGCTTCTGTCTTAATTGTTAATGCGAAATATTGAGTAAAATATATTATTATGTAAAGGTAAAAAATAAAACGTTTATTTTTGTAAATTGATATATTTTGCCCTTATCTTATTTATTTTATTATACTTAGCAATATATCTGTATTTAAAGGCATTAATAAATAAAGACGTCGATATATTATGTTTATAATTGTTTTGATTTAAATAAATAAATAATAATGCAAACCGATTACAGTGGCGGCGCGATTAAGCTATCAGCGTTTTTACTGCGTGTGTTGATTCGGTCATAGCGTGACGTTAAAAATACTTCTTTGATCTTAATCTAATTCAAAATATTTAATCCCACCAAATAATTCTGAGATTAATGTGTTAATCGAAACAAACTCTTATGATAGTAATAATAATGGATTTCGTTTTTTATTTTCACGTTTTCGTGCTGGCAAACGAGCAGGCGTGAGTTTGTTATTGGCCTTTGTGGATATAGTACCCTATTTTCTTGAAGGCCTCTAAGCCGTATTGGTTAGGAAATACCTCGACTGGCAGGTGGTCGAACGACAGGCGTCGAGGAGAAGGATGGAATTATATTCGGAAATACTAAATCTGACAAGTTACACAAAATATCTCCTACTGTAACTCTACCTGTAGTTTTATTTGGGTAATGAAAAAGTAATTTTATATCTTAGCATTTACGAGTGTATTTTATTAATGTCATAAGGTTCCGACATAAATTTTTCGACCATATAAACTCATGAAAATTATTAACTTACCTTGAGGTAAGTATTCTAATATTAGGACGCTTTTTCAATCTTTACAAAGTACTTATATCGTTTTACGTCCCTTATTGTGCTCCAATGGTTTTTCTGTCTATGAATTTAAAACTTGTTCGTTCGGTGAAAGAAACTGGCATACCTTAGATCCAAAAAGAAGGCTGATCATTTACTTGCCTATGAAAATAAATAATCACATAACAGATACAGGTTACCACCAATTCAGGAAGTACATATATGAGCCAACAAGCCTTGGTCGTATCTTTTAATATATAAAATTCTCGTGTCACAATGTTCGTTCCCATACTCCTCCGAAACGGCTCGACCGATTCTTATAATTTTTTTATGCATATTCAGTAAGTCTCAGAATCGGCTACTACATATCTTTCAAACCCAATGTGATAAGGGGTGTCCACCCTAAAATTTTATTTTTCAGACATTATTTTGTTTTTATTTTTTATGATACAGCATACAAAAATATATACAACCCTTGATTTTCATCTACTCCCTTTTATTTGTTATTTAAGAACTTATAACTTGAACTCTGAGGTTTATATAGAGAAACATCACAGAAAAACCTAAAAAGTTTTTTCATACCGGAAAACCGAACAGTCTCTGGGATAGCAAAGCATAATGTTCCATGTTGGTAGGTACTAGTAGGCTAAGTAAAATCACATTACGGAGAAATGAAGTTCGCGGGGGCAGTTAGTTACATATAACAATATCATACCCTTCTTATAATGAGTCTTCATCTGTTCCTACACAGAACGAAATAGGAAAGAGATTCGTAACTATAAACAATATCTCTTTAGAAGCCTCTCTTAACAACTGAGATGTATAAGTTAGCACAATCAGTAATAATTATTATTTGAAAAATTATGTAACTTAGGTGATATTTTAATATTAGTTTAAACAAATTAACTTTTCAGACATCATATAATATCACGCTTTGGTAATTATCGCTGATAACATTATTTGATGTCACTTTATTTTATAAACTTTTCCACAATACGCACTTCAGTCGAGATGTAATTAAACGTGCGTTGCCCCCACCACTCAGTGGTAAGAGGCCGTCTCTATGCACCCTCAGATAGCTTTCATCTATACCTTGCTATAAAAATGACGACTATGCTTCAATTCATAATATATTTTGTTAATAATGATTGCAAACAAAGTCTGCTATTATGTGTGAGTATACGTATGTACTACACACATAGTAGGAGGTGATCAGTCTATTGTGACTGACACATCATCATCGTTCCGCGTTCACGAATAAGTGGTACATTTTTTTGTATAATTTTAGATTAAGGTTAGTGATTCTATAATTTTTTTTATAAGATTTGGTTATGCATTTCTTGCACTTAACCCATCATATTTTTTTTTGGTTTTTCCCTGACTAGGGTTGCCTGGAAGAAATCGCTTGTTAGCGATAAGGCCGCCCGTTACATCCCTTATAATTTTTCTATAAATGTAACGAAGTGTAAATAAATAAATAATTACGAAAATAAATCCATTGGTCCACGACCGGAACTCGAACACCTCACCTCCAGGTCGAGAATCACAAGTTCACTTTGGCTTTTGCACCCCTTTGCGTTCAGTGTAATATTTTGAGATTAGGTGTAGTCTCATTAGACCAGCCTCTGTTATAGGTGTTCTGGCGCATTAAAGTTCATTCCCGTTGATAATGAGATTAACCCTTCAACCTCTAATGCGATTGTTATGTCCCCGCTCACCACGCCACTACCAGTCACCATAGGAGAACAATATTAAATTATTATTTTGGCATTAGTGATAATATACAAAGTCGGGTTAGTTTCAGAGCTTTTATGATTGATAAGTTTGCAGTGGTAATAAATGAAAAAGAATTGCATTAAATGTATGACCGTTCATGATGTTTTTTGAATGGGCCAGATTCGTATGTGAGATATTTGACATTAGCTGTATACAACTTATCTTTCTTTTGTATAGAGCTTTCATTGATTCGATTCTAAATTAAGCAAATACTTCACTGCATTGGTTGACATTCATTGATATATTTTAATGTTACCATGTCAATTAATATAATGAAATACAGATGCAACCGATGCTTTTAACATTCCGTAGTTATAAGACATACTGTTTTGTTAATAAGGACCAAATATCTAAAGCGAGTTCTCCAACAAACCTCATTAAGGATATCGAAGAAACAAAATAGTTTCCGTCTTCACCGTTGTATAAAACAAAACGTCCACATAATTAGCATACTCTGCACCCGTTCAAACTATTCCTGAACTATCTCAACAAATGGGAGAATAAATGCTTCAGTTAAATAGTCTGTTTCTGCATATCTTACATACATTTTGTTAATTATGTCAAGGCTGAAGCTTTAAGCTTTACATATCGAAATAAATAAATTAACAAATAAAGCCATAATTGTACGTAATTTTTTGAAAAAACTACGTAAATTGTAACGTAATTTGCCGATATTGCAGGACCATAAATTTATTTAAAAAAAGTTATATGCTTTATATACGATTTTAGGTCGAATTATTCACGTTGTTTCTTAAACCTACGAGTAACTGTCAATGCGTAGGAAGTGGGTAGAGAGTGGCTTGCCTTGTTTATGTTATATTTGATAGGAAGGAAAGCCTACGGAACAGACATAAGGCAGCGCATGGACACCCATGATAGTTAGGAGAAGTTTGTTTGTTTAAATAGTTAAAGGTGGTATCTCCCAGGAAAGACCTCTTCTGGCAGCCAATTCCACAGCTTGCTTGTTCGCAAGAGACCTAGAGTACATGTGAAGTTTTAATATCATTTCAGAGTGGGGTTCACGTGGCGGGTCCCGGCGGCGTTCGTCGCAGACGGCGCCCGCGACAGCCGCTCTTCTTGCTACCTTCGATACTAGTGTACAACAGGTATGTCTATATTTATCTAACAGTAATATTTAATCATAATTCCGTTCTACACTTAGATCACATAATTAAGCGATGGGTTTAATGTTTTCTTGAATAGGCAGAGTGACTTAAGGGTAAGGTTATATGTATAATAATATATACATAAAATTATGAAAACAAAGTCGAGAAATTTACTATATTATTGTGATGTTACAGTCGTTCGCTTGAAACCGCAGACTAAAAGTAATTAACAGGGCAAAGGTGAGGGCGGGTTAATATGGTAGTAATACTTTTATAAACATTAAAGACGAACGAATCAAGCTATAATGGTCATGAAACGAAGTCAGGCATTACAAAATTAGTGGCATGCATGGGAAATCACTTTCACGAAAGTAGTTTCGATGTATGTGAAAGTAATTTCGTAAAATAAATAGTGTCGTAAAATCCTCAGTATTGCAGTAACCATGGCCCCATCAGCATCAAAGCTTTATTTTTCTATAATCAATGTAGCTAAAAAGACGCTTCTCTAAAGACCTTAAATGCTGCGTTTTTTAGCAACTGGAAATCTTTATCATAACAATTCAGGGTGGCATCATGTATTAGCATCAAAATACACACGTCCGCACAGCACAGGCACTTTCGCGACACTAGTTTCACGTCGTGTTTCCATCATGAAATTAGTTGCATGAAACTAATTTCACAGTTTTACTTTCGCAGCAAAAAATACTTAAAATTTGAATTAAAAACTTCAGGGTTTATACTACAATTAGTCCTAATAGTGGCGGTTACAAAAAAGCGCCGAACTGCAGTATTTTAAGTTCTGAATGAGTAAAATAGTGGCTATGTGCCAAATTGTAGGCGGATGTTGGAGCGTGAATGTGCTGTGAGCAAAGCCTGCGGACGGTGATATTTCATTGCTATGCGCTATGTTCGGTGGCGAAACTGTGTGGTTTTTAGTTTAAGTAGTTTTGCACGGAATATTCTTTTAGTGTAGCTTAGAATCTAAAATTAAGTTTTAAATTAATTTTAATTTATTTAGGAACAATCTCGATTTATTTTGTGGCACATTAAAAACATAAATGCTAAATAAAGGAAAAAAAACCGAAAAAAAATGACTACAAGAAATATAAATGTAATTACTTTTTTTTTTAAGATTCAAGAGGTTTTGTTTTGTTTGTTTGTAGAAAGTAATCTCCGGAACACGTTTTTTTTAACTAGCAGAAGGCTACCTAATTGATAGAAAATGTATTTTCTAATATTAAATATATTTTATGTGAGTGAGGAAACTTACTCCAAAACTTAACTTTTTAGTATATGTCGCGAGCAGAACTTTTATTATATAAAACACGTGGAAAGCTAATATAATATCTTAGGAGCTTAAAAAATAAAGTCATTGAGAGGTGTAACTAGGTCAAGCGTTGAAGGATAATAAATGCAAAGCTATAAGTTATAAGCCGCTTATGAAAGTAGGAAAAGGAACATTTCGCAGGAAACATTCATACAATTCCGGGAGCTCGAAGTTGTGTGAAACTGAGTGGAAAAATTAATGTACCGCGATATCAAGAGACCAGCAATCACAGCTCCTGTTATATGACGACATTTTAACATGTCACATTAAAAAAAATACTCAAGTTTCTACAGTTAATTGTTAAACAAATAGATAACGATCTTTTTCTTAAAAAACGTAATTACTACACTGTCTGTAACAGTGAAAATACCATTTTATTTAAATTTTTATGGTATCAAACGTCACACAAAATGAGAAAATATGTTATAGAAAGGATATACACGTGTAAGAATAAAATGAGAAGGCACAGCACGAGACCAGATCTTTGCAACTTCCTCACAATGTGTGCTACACTACTCACGGGGACTCTTTGTACTGAAGAAGTCGAAAAAAGCCTGTAAAAGGTTTTTTTTTCTTAACATAGCATATGAACCGATTAGCTACGAAACAAAACAGATTATCGATAACTACCCAGCCTTAGCTAACTCACAAAAGGTTTTGCTTAAAATGTGAAATTTGGTAAGTCGACAACAAAGGCGGGTTGTGGGACCGTGAGACAGAACACTACAAATGTAACGATTCAATTGAGCACTTAATCAGCCGAGTTGTGAGCGGGAAACATACTTAGCGTTTAGTAAACTCTATGCGTCACTAACCTTATCGATATAGCTATTTTTATGTCTTGTATTTTTATTAAAATAAATCCCCTGGCACAAGTCAGGGATATTATGAAGTATAACTGTTTCATAAAACTACATCTCGAAATATTGGAGCGTCATATAAAATTATTAAATAATGATTAATTAATAGAAAAATCTTATGATAATGAGTGACACCTTTTTCTTATATTAAAAAAAACCATGTTTTTTTATAAAAATAGTTTTTTGTTTGTTGTCTGTTTTGATTTAAATATTAAAATCTAGCAAAATTGTGTTTCAATTGTCATAAATATACTTTTTAATTCATAAATATATAAATAGCTATATTCAATAGATATTTATTCAATACTAGAAGTTCATATAATAGATTAGTAAAATAAAAACAAATGAAATCTACAGGTTCATTTAATATTATTAAATATATTAAAACAAATAAGACACAGGGATAATAACTTATTAAAAAAGAAAACGTGACATGAAAATACACTCAGAATGAAAAGCTTAACCACTTTTAAACCGTTTACCTGCCGGTGTATAACGAGCCTAAGTGAAATTAATTCAATGAAGGGGCCTGCTTACATTGGATTCCGTTCCTTTCAGAAGGATTTATTTTTGGTGAATGCGCCGGAGCTGGAAATTTAAACCGAATTTAAATTCTATGTTCCTAAAGCATTAGCTACAGCACAGGCAGAGTGCTTCAGCGAACTTTATTGCTTTTTGGAAATACACTTAGGAAATAGAAATTCCCAGTCAGCAGAAATATTTGAAATTTCATTTCCGTTTTTACGCAAAATTGATTGGCGAAAATCAAAGCTAAAATGGACTTTATGACTTAAGTACACATTAGATTATTAAATAAATTAGGTGGTAAAAATTTGGTCAAACAATATTTCTACAAAGGTATTATAGTAAGAAAAAAAATTGGGACGTTCATTTTAAAAATACGCCCAGTTGGTAAAATAATAAGGTTGGCTTTATATAATAAGGTTTTAAGCCCAAAATGTAGAATATCTTTTTATAAATAACTTTACTGACTGGTTAACTCTACTGATACTTCATCGGAAAGTAAGATCATTCTAATGACGCTAATACTCGGTCAGAGTACATACTATTAAAATATAAAGTATGAAATTGAAATATATAAATATGAAGGTATAATAGCATACAATCACAGGGTACTATGCAACAAAACTCCCACCCGCAGGCGAAGTAGATTCATTCATCAGATGAGTCTGCATCAGTGGAAACAGATTGCCCACTCCAGATTTTTCCCTGCTGACCACGACGCGCAGACATGAGCTCCCGACAAACGAGAGTAAACTCAAACTCAAAATATCAATTATTAAATTTATTCATTTAAGTAACCAAGTACACTTATGAACGTCAACCGAAAAGATTTTAAATTGATTCTAAATAATCAATAAAAAATATGTATTCAGTTCGGCGTAGTGCAGGTAAGGATAATAGAACTGATTTAGATTTAATAAGAATCACATCACGTAACATTTCTCATTCATAGCTCTAAATTTAATTACTTTACCAACATTTTTCGAAGTAAACATTAAAATAAATGTAACAGTACTCAGTAAGTGATGAGCTAAGGAACCGAACGCTGCATTTCTTGCAACATTCAGTGCTACTCAATCTAGAAGTCAAGCCAGGCCAACAAAATCACAACAAAGTATGTGATTTAAAGAAAATGCAGACTTAATCAAAATGATAATAAAGAGAACGTGGTTTCGACTACGTATAAAACATGAAACCCTCCAAATAGCGTAACCTTCACCCTTGAAACGGTCGCCCACAGACGATACCGCCTCTCCTTTACAAGCAAACGTACGGAAATGAGATGCGAAAAAAAACGTCACCTATATGTAGCATACATTTGTTACTTATTTATACAACAGTACTACGAGTACTACAGTTCTGACATCGGCAATATAAAATGATAGTTTGATTTCGGATTATTTTTATTTCATAAAAGTTCACTATTTTAAGACAATATACGATTTAATTATAATTTTATTGATGTTTGTTTTTTCCTATTTAATACTGTTTCTGCGTTTATGTTGCTTAACTAATTAATAGCCATATTTTGATTTGTATAGGCAATATTTTCACTGTTAATATATACAGCTAACATGCCTCAAATAAAAAAAAAACAAAAGTATAAAATATGTATTTTGAAGAACTATATAACATACGATGCCAACATAGTCCAATTCATAAAGTGCAACAGGCTCAATTGGGTCATATGCACCAACCGCAATATCCTTAATGAACTTACAACCCAGTGGCAAGAGAAAACCCGGTAGACCGACGCTGCGTTGGTGGGACGGGGTTGTCAAGGACGCAGAAAGCACTGGATGGATTGCGATGGCAAAGTCTACTTGAGGAGGCTAAGGCCCACAAGGGGCTGCTATAACCATTGATGATGAAAATATGTATTAGAATATTTACTAGAACCCAAACCCTCTAAGCAGTTACAAAAACGCCGCTTTTTTAAACCATTTACCCCTCTGTACAAATGGAGCATCTTTTGTCCATCTGCATGAATGTCGACGTACAGGAAGACGGGTCAATATTATATAGTTTTGGGTCGGCATTGTTATTGGAAGTTTTTCGGTCAGAGCTGAAACGCTTTATGTTGATAGAAACGAGAAAACTATTTCGACGCATATTTCTTCGAAAAGGGTATACGACCGTTGACGCAATTCAATTCCTTATGTATTGATCATCTTGGACCTTATGTATTCATGTTGGAAATTAGACTTTCTATTCTTACTTACCAGTTAAAACATTCTATTTTTGATTTACTAGTACACGTTCTAGTTCAATTAGTTTTTAAGTAAAAATATATAATTTCTTAATTAATAAAATAAATATATATATAAATGAAGGCTTACGGTGCGTACAGACTATATAACATAACATGTTATACAACATTGCTATACAACATATTTCAGATAATGTGGACACTGAATGTTATAAAACATGTTATTATGTACCACAATGTTATATTGTTATGTTATTGATATGAACCCAGCATCTAGGTTTTTTTGTTTTTCTTTTGTTATTTAAAATTACAAGTCGCTGCCGCAGCCAGCAAAACGTCCTCGCGTGTCGACATTGTGGATAGCACTGGAGAATAGGGATGTGAAAAAATAATCGATTATTAAAAAAATCTATTAAAATCGATTTTTTTACGCGATTTTTATATTTTAAATAATCGATTATTAGTATTGTCTTTGATTAACATAACTTTTATTCATTTAATAAAACACTATTTTGACCGGATTGAAGTTATGTATTATTATAAATTTACAACTATTTAACATAATTTTAAATTTATCCGACGTTTCGCGTGCTTTACAGCGTGCGTGGTCACGGTGACTGAAGACAAAAGATGTTGAATGTCAAAAAGTATCACAGCTGCAGAGAAAGTTGCATTATCTGTATTTATTTCCCCGGAGTTGGATTGGACGCACCCTTAGATTTGTAGTAGCAATGATGCAATTCATTTTTATAGATTTTTCTAAATTTTAAAACCATACAAATATTCTAATGTTATTTTTTGGACATGGAAACTGTTTTACTTCTATCTTTTATATATTTTGGCATAATACGAATTTAATGAAGCCTTGTGAAAAAAGAATCACGGAATAAGTGCAAAGCACAATTTAACCATCCTTGCATGTCGCGAGTTTACAACGTGGTATGTGACTAAACAATCATACTTTTTATATTTTGTATGTTTAAAACGGGTGTCTAACCAACGACTCTGGTTCTGGTACAAAGTTCGAAGACCTATCTATTGCGTGTTAACTAAGCGGAGTCCCACACAGTTGTCGGCGGTACAAAGCTAACTCGTTTAAATCAGTCCCTACCGTTGTCTGCGGCCGATCGATCCGATATCGCCGAATGTGCCGGCCGTTATTGTTTTGTTTTACTGTATAGCATCCATTTCCCTTATCCCCATAAAGATAAGCTTATCCTTTCGGTATTATTCCATATTTTTTGAGGATTTTCCGGAAAACAGTGTATAGAATTTTGTAAAATGTTTTCCTGAAATAGGAAAATATTTTTATTTAATCTAATCAATCCAAAGCCCAACGCATAATAGCGTAAGTAACTAGTAAAATTTTCTAGTGAAAAATTGATTGTGAACAATTTTCAGTTCTAACATTGATCTGAGAGATGATTTTTAATTTTATTGCTTTATTTGATTGAGACAAGTCATTTATAGACGAATAGTCGATGACCAGTTTCTTTCAAGCGGCTTCGATGCACGCCACATTTCTATGCATCTTCTACCACAATTACCATTGAGAGTGTTCAGTGGAGTTGTTCGGATCAATTCAGCACCTAAAATTTTTTTTTTTTAAGACATCTCACACCAATTGACCGAGTCCCATGCTAAGCTGGTGAAGCTTGTGTTATGGGTACTAGGCAACGGATATACATACATATTATAGATAGATAGACACATAAATACATATTTAAACACCCAAGACCTAAGCACAACACCAAATGCTCATCACATCGATGTTCGTCTCAGCCGGGGATCGAACCCGGGACCCATGGATTCGCAGTCAGGGGTACTAACCACTAGACCAATGAGTCGTCAAAAATATGTCGATAGTGTCGGAGACTGCATTCTATAGGCGCAACGTCTTTGATAACGGGAATCTGTGCAATAGACTGGTTCTGGCCCTTGGTATCGCAAATACCCTAGTCCTTTGCCGTCACACATATCCCATAGGTTTTTGAAGTACACTTGGGTTGGTCACTACCCCCCTCAAGACTTTCAGTATATAGTAGGCCAACTGTAAGTCCCGCCTGGTTTCCAATTTATTGTACCCCACCATCCCTAAGACAAATGGTTGGGTACATTAAAGGATAGTAGGGATAGACGATAGAGGTATCGTGTAAATTTATTATGTATGTGCTCCAATATAAGGCAGTATTTAGCTTCACGCGGAGCCCAAACAGACGAGTAACACCGTTATATGAACTGAAACAGTTTATAATATGTCACAGATTTCATGTAATCAGTTTTGATTTTTATATGACAGATACGAGACTGGGTGTCAGCTGAGGTTGAAATGTTGAGGGCACAAGCTGTGGTGGTCGGCGACGTCGACGAGATACTGTCGCAGCTTGACAAGCAAAAGGTAACTAAGCATACTCTTAAATCTCTTTAAAGTAAAACAACTGAGTGGTATTATTTAGCAATATAATAGGAGAGTAATACTACAAAAATGTGCGTGCGCACAAAGTACACAGGTGAGAAGCGAAACTTTAAGTTTAACCAATTTTTAAGTCTTGTTCATATTTATACAAATCTAAAACTTTAGATTTCCGAGACTTAGAGGGAGGGAAAAAGGAAGATATGTTAGGAATTTAATGCATTTAACTGTCATTGAAATATTAAAAGTATCGACAATTATTAATACAAGTTATATATTTTTTAAAATTTATTTCTTCTATAATAAAAACACGTGGCATTTTAATTTACTATTCGTCATTTGAGATTTCAATAAATAATTTTGCATAAATTATAAAATACTAATATTTCATAAATTCTCTTAACGAAATTTTAATTTTTAAAATAGAATTTCTATAAGGTAAGTCGCCCTTCTCACTCTCTCTCAATCGGTCTCAATCGCTCTCTCCCTTTTCTTCGACAAAAAATGCTGTACATCTTAGTGACGCTAATATTATTATTATTGCATTTCATCCGTAAAAGTTTTACCCTCATGCGCCTAAAGAAGTTTCACTTCAGAAACTGAATAGTGTCGGTGGCCGTGGTAATGAAGAAACGTTTATTTTTAACTAGCAGACCCCGGCCACGCGTTGCTGTGGCTAGGGTTTTTGTTTTATTACATAGAAGTAAACTATTCAAGGGAAACGGTAGGAGAACACCAGTCATGGGGACCACCATGCTTTTGTAGTGGTTATGCCATTAAATTGTAGCTTATGTAAAACGTTGGTACTTTCTACACTGCGCCATCTGTTAGAATTGTGACTGTCAAATAATAAACAAATGATTTGCAATAAAATAATACTGCGGGTATAAATTGAGATGTAAGCTATCATATCTTTTAAGTTAGATCAAACTGCACACGGTGTGCAAATTTGATTGAAATCGGTTAAGTAGTTTAAGAGTCCATAGCGCACAAACAAAGTGACGCGTTATTTATATAAATTAAGATAACGCGTACTGCGTGAATTGTTCATAAGGATTTCTTGATTCAATTAAGGATTCCTTCACAACCGCGAACCACCGCTATATGGAACGAACTCCCCACCGATGTATTTCTGAATCAATGCCTTTAAGAAAAGAAAGCCCATTCTTAAAAGGCCGACAACGCACTTGCGAGCCCTCTTGTAATGTGAGTATCTCGTTTGACCCCTATAAAAAAAGAAAATACTTTGACAGTTTGGAATGGTTATTTTTCAAAACACTTGTTATACTTAGCATATTGACGTGTCGGAGGGAATTTTCTAATTAAATATTATAATTATGTCGAAGCTTATTAAAGCATGAGAATTCTTCGTCAATAATTAAAATTTTTACTTAGCTTTCTTTAATAGACCTGTCATACGTAAGCCCTTCAGTCTCTAGTCTGGACAGTTTAATGCAAATTAAAATTTCTCATTCAAGAGAGAATAAAGTGAACCCTTTTCGATTTTATAATAGATATTTTTTTCCTTATTTAATACGTTTTTATGAGATAGGGACTCTTTAAAATTATTCTTTATTACTTTACATACCTTATTGGTTTATTTAGAAAAACACATCATATGAAATACACTTTCTACAGAATATATCTAACACAAAATATGTATATTTAATTTTTTTTTAGGTTTCTATTTATCCATTTTTAGTTAATATTTTCACTATATATGTGCAAAAAGCTAGATAATTAATTTATTTTAAATAATGATACATACAAAATTTCGGAAGAGCGAACAGTCTCTATGGAGTAGCATAGCACAGTGTGGCACAGGTAGGTACTAAAAAGGTAGGATAAGTGAAAAACTCATATTAATGCGAAAGAAACGAAGTTCGCGGGGGCAGCTAGTAGAAAATAAATAATTAAATTTATTATTATCAAACCACAAAAATAATGTATATGATAAAATTAAAGTGAACCTAAAATTTGTAAAAAATTAAAACATTAACAAAAAGGAAAGAAAATAAATGCAAATACAAATTATAAATTAAGAAATAGTCATTTGCCTAATGCGATTACTATTAGGAGAACTTTCTTTAAATAGATCATCCCACTACCGAATATAAAAACAACAAAAAAAACAAAAAAAAAACATTAAAAACATTTATGTAGTGGACCACACGCTATTTAAGGAATAAGCTTATATTAGAATAATATTTTGAAAATTAATGAGCTAATAATCTTTGAGCTTGTGGGAGTAAAAGTAACACCATGAATAATAATTTAAAATGTTTGATAGAATCCTGGATTACCGCCGTGGATATGTACAATGGAATTATTTACAACTAGTAAGATCTGTATTAAATTATCTTATATATAAATTTCTCGTGTCACGCTGTTTATAATTAAACTCCTCCGAAATGGCTCATCCGAATTTCGTGAAATTTTGAGTACATATGGGCTAGGTCTGCGAATCGGAAAACATCTGTTTTTCATCCCCCTAAATTTTATTTTTTAGACAAAAATTATTGTTTTTTTTTATGATCAACCCCTATTTTTATTATAGTAGATAGTTATTTTTATTGAACTAAAAAAATGTTTCTTAGAAAAACGTGGCAAAACAACGTTTGCTGGGTCAGCTGGTAATAATATATTTTTTGTTAACATTTTTAAAAGCTTTTTGTTACCTGTAGCTAGTAGAGAACGCGATTTAGCGTCAGTCAGATAAAGAAATCTCATTACTCCGTCTTCATCGATCCCTATCTACACGACACGAATACGTAATGAGAGGACTTGCTCAGCTACTGAGCCATCACGGCTAAAGGCATTTCACACGGAGACGGTTACGCGGCGGGTTTTTTTTATACATCCTTAGAGAGGAATCAAATTCTATTTATAATCATGTTTGAAAAATGCAATGACTTCTTTCTGCAATTTCAAGGTTATTTTTAACAAAGTTCTCTTTTAAATCTATATTTTTATAAGCCATGTATATGATATGGATCGTACACATGGCAGATATAATATAAATGTATAATAATTTAATATAATCAGTATAAGGATAAAAGTAACAACCAACAACAACAATTGCTGTATTACTTAAGTTAAAGAATTACATAAGTTAAAAGTCATTGTTTTATTGTCCGTTGAGTAAACGTTATATTATTTGTTAGTTACCTATTTCATGTATTTTCCTAGTTATTTTTTTTGTTTCGTGCATAACAAAAAAAATCATTGGTTATGCATTCTTGTCGATTTAGGGTTACCTGTTAGGAGAGTTTTGCGTTTTTTATAAATAAAAACTGTTGTACTATTTGTCGGAAAGCTAAAAAACTGTAAAGTTACGCCAAATCATTGTAGTCGTTTTTGCCTGAATAACAAACATGCATTCAGAATGGATTCATCGCTGAGTTTTGCTTATATTTGATTAGTTAAAGTATATGTTACATACACATATATTTTAACTAATCAAATATAAGCAAAACTTATTATTTTGTGGGCAAAATAAACTCTGATTTGCAAAATCGTAAAAGCTTTTAAAATGATAAAAAGAGCATTTCAAAGCATACAGACCGTGTAATTATAAAAGTTTTTACTAAGAATTGTTTTTTTGTGTCGTCCCAAAGCGGCTCGTATGAATAGCCAAAAGGCATTAATGTGAGGGTGTATTATTTGAAAGCCCGTAACAAACAAAAAGTTTATTAAATTGACAAATTCGGAGGGACCCGTTGTTAACTTGGACTGCGAGTTGTTCGTGGTTAACTTTATAAGCCTTTATTTTACAAACTTTTCCTCGAAAGCCTAACTAACTGAAGATAAATGTAAAAAGTATAGTAAGAAACATTTAATAAACAAACAACTTTATAATAAACTTGGAAAGGACAGTTTTGCAAGAATATTAGGTTCTAAACATATTATAAAAAAAAAGGTATTATGCTGTCAGCGTTAAAGGTACACAGGTGCTACAGGGACAAAACATTTTTAATTTGCTTTAATTTTATACTTACATTTTTTTATTATTTTTTATTTTTATATTAAAATAAATAATATTAAAGAAACATATCTTAGTCGTTTTTTTAAATAATACATAATTAATGAATTAGTATATATAATGTAAATGAAGTCTTTTACCCCAAAATGGGCATTGGGTAGACAGAATCTGTGTATGTTTTATTGACGTATGACTCTATACAAATCTGTGATCAGCCTTTGTTACCTGACGTCATAATATGACCACGTCGGTTGTACACGATGTTTTGCACCGCACAAGTGTTACTTGCGTACGTACTAGTAAATAAATTACATCGCTGGGGTTTGAACACTATTCTCACCTTTAAGAATTACTTACATGAAAATTTCTACGACGCGTCTTAAAAATATTATTTTTTAATTTTACCTAAACACGTGTCTTCATAGTCTCATGATAATAACATATAAGAAATGTTTGAAAAATCAAATGTAATTCTTTATATAACGTAGTATGGACACAATTAAATTAATAAATTTTTAAAATGTGTGACAGTTGTCCGATCTTAACTGAACTAATACGTATTTTTTGCTATAGAATATAATTTAAGGCCATATACCATGTTCTCTTATTTGTTTCAACAATGATTGTTAAGTATTTGGGGTCAACACAGTCAGCTTCATGCGTATTCGATTGATGACTGAGCAAAAATGTCGGAAACGTTTCACGTTATAGTGACAGCGCATGTGCAGCTAATAGTGATGGGCTGTGTTGTCGATATTGTTTTTGTAACTGAATGAAGTTCCTAATAAATGACGTATCAGACTATGTTCTAGTACCATAAAGAAATGATTTTACATTATAAATTGTCCTGATTTTACAAGCAATGATCATTTTTTATGCTATTTAATTTTTTTACTAAATTTAGAAATAAACTGTAATTTTAGTTGGTTTGAACACGATTGGAAAACATTTATTTCCTTTAAATACGAATGATATCACTTGCATAAAATATTTCAAAAAAATT